CTGCTGCCTGCCCCCCCGGGTGGCAGTGGCCCTCCCTCCGCTGTGCAGGCCTGGCCCAGGCTGCCTGCATAGCCTGGTTCCTGGGATTTTTTGTCCTTTCCGAAGAAGTTTGCTTTAAGCAGCTAAGAAACGTGAAGGCCCTGGTGGGGGCACCAGCTAAAGGATCCGTCAGTGTTTTTCTTGGATCCAACTTAAAACCACCCGGCTTGCCATGTGACCTGCTCTGTAGTCTCCATTTTCATGAAATATAATAGGCCTCCTCTGAACCCTTCTGGTAAGCAGCTTAATCTTGAAAAATGCTCCTGACGTGACACGCGGAGCATGAGTAACTTCAGCCGACTCCACTCGGCCGCGTTGCCATGGCGACGCTGGCGCCTCTCCCGCCTGTTCCTGGGAGAGGCAGCTCTGTCCTGCGCACCAGCTCCGGTCGGGAAGTTTAGTGGGGCAGTTAGAGCCTAATGATGCAACAGCTGGACCTCAGCTGGATCCCGGGCAGCCGGGCAGGCGGCCCATGTGCGCCGTGCGGCCTGGCAGCAGGCGAGAGCCAAACTGCTTTCTGGCTACTGGCAGCGCAGCCCAGAGCCCAGTGCCTAATTTGGTGGCCCTGCCCCAAGATCGCCCTCACTAATGGGCTGCTACCCAGGCACTGCCGACTCAGCAAGTGCCCAAGGCGCGAGATCAGGCCAAGCCCGGTGCCAAGAGCTTCCCTGCTTCCCTCACTTCATCCTCCCGGCAGCCTGGCCTGGAGGCCCAGCTGCTCTCCAGCAGGAGAGGAAATGATGGAGTGATGGAACCTGAGGCCGGTTTTGAGTCCCGGGTCTTGGACTTGGAAGTGGCCTCTTCCTAGCTCGTCTCACAGGAGACCCCCGGCCTGGCTCAGGCCCCTCGGGCTGCAGTTCAGAACCAGAAAGGCCCTGGGCTCAGGGGGCTGGGCCGGTGCCCTTGGGGGACTGGAGAAGGCCCGTGTGCCCTCTCACCATGCACTCAGCCCCCGCTTCTCTGGGCCTCCCGCTGACTCTTGGAGCCACATGTGTTTGATTTTGCATGCCGTCTGTTGAAAAGCCAGCATCTTTTATTAAAAGGTCCCCCATATTCATGAAATTATAGAAACACCCATCAAAACACGGTATTATTTTTCACCACCTTTCATTTCGCAAATGACCACTGGTAGGCAGTGATTTCGTTCACCTTGCATTTTCAAAGCCCTGGAGTTCCCCCAGCTCCTTCCTGGACACCTGAGTCCTGGAGGAGAGACTCACTACCTGCCTCCTGGAATGCCTTAGCCCCACTCCCTCAGCGGCCTGGCGGCCTCCGGGGAAGGCGTGGGCAGCTCCAGCCCCTCAGCCGTGGGAAGAAAGCAAACGGCTTCTCCCGTGGGCAGGGGACGGGGAGCTGGGAGTTACTGGTGACAGCCACTGCCTTTCCGGACGGCGTGACCCTCCTGGGTGCTGAAGGCAGATGACTAAGCAGCGGTCCCTACACAGGGCACTTTCTGGAAGTGCCCTCACTAATCCCTGCAGGGTCCCCCTGACGGGTCCCAGGTTCCGTGGGGAGGGGGGGTGGAGGAAACACTGGGTCACACGGGGGCGGAGGTCACGACAGCCCGCGTGAGGGAGCAGAGCCAGCCCTGAAGGGCGACATGGTCTGTGCTTTCAGATGCAGCCCTTTGACCTGCTGGGAATCACCATCAAGTCTCTGGCGGAGATAGAGAAAGAGGTAAGCAGGTCCCAGCGCGGGAGGGGCTGGCCGGCTCGCGCACCTGGGTCTCTCCTCAGGGATCTGCTCTGGATCCGGAAGGACCGGGGTTGGGGTGCCCTTTGCAGAAAGCCACCCCCATGTCACTCACATGTATCGCTTGGAACAAGAACCCACTTTTCATGTGTTTATTACTCCAATCAAGTGTGCCAGCCCCTCCCCGTCCTCCTCGCTCAGAAGGTTGTAAGAGACGGAGGGAACAGTTGTTGTGCTTTATTTTTTCTCAGTGTCTCAGCTTAAAGAAGGTGGGGGTTCGGGGAGGGGCTGTGTGTGCCGAGCCACCAGGAGGGGCGTGGAGACGGGTCCCGCCTCTGTGACTTAGAGGCCCCGGTGCTCCGCTGTGCGTGGTAAGCCAGACCCCATTGGGCAGCCTGGTTCAAACAGTTTGGATGTTTTTCTACTAAAAAGAAAGAAACCCCAGCTGGGGGCGCATGTGACAGCTCCGACGAAAGGGCGTCGAGATCATGGAGTGAGACTGGGGGTCGGACGTGCTCCGCGCTCCCAGGACAGCGTGGCGTGTGCGTCTTTGTGTGGAGCGGGTGGCGGAGCGTCACGTGCTTGCAGCAGCCCCGCTGAGGGGAACATTTGTCTCGGAGATGGAAGTGCGAGGACCATTTCCATATTCCCGCTCCTCTGGGCTTTCTCTGCTGTGCCAGCGAGCGGAAGGGGCTGCATTATTGAAAGATGGCTGAAATCAAGGAAAATGGAATCAATGTAGTACAACAGATTCCTAAACCTGTCACAGCAAAAACAAGACGGAAAAGCCCCCCTTGTCTTTGCCTTCCAGTAAATCATAAAACCAACCTGATTGTATCTGTAGACTCGGGGGGGGGGGGGCTTTTCTGTCTGTAAACTTCGGGGGAAGAATGGCGGCTGCCACTCTGGGGAGGCGCCCAGGACCCCGTCAGCCCTTCTCAAAGCCCAGGAGCCGATGGCCCTGCTCAGCCCGGCCCTGGCGCGGGGTCCTCGTCGGTGGCGCGCGGTGTGTGTGGGAAGGGGAGGCCTCCAGGCTGGCCTGCTCTGGCTGCAGGTGGTGCCGCAGGGCACAGCCTGGGACCGTTCAGGATGGTGAAGTTCGTACAGACGGGTCTGGCCCACACTGACTGGGGGCAAGTCACACCCCTTCTCTGCTTAAAGCAGGGCTCTCCGTAGACCGATCTCACGGGGTTTTTCATGACTACTTGGCAGACAGGTGCCCATCGCCATGGCTGGGTGCTGTGAGGTGGCACGTGCTGGCGATGGGGCAGCCCCCAGCGTGGCCCTTGCCCACGCTGACCGGGGGGTGTCATTCCTCCCATGTCGTGGGCAGAAATGGAGGCTCGGAGGGCGAGGAAAAGATTGAGGCCCAGTGTGTCACACTCCAAATCCTCTCCCTCATGACTCGAAGTCTGTGGCTCCGTGGACCTGCCAGGGCTGGTGAGGAGTGTGGGGGGTGGGGTCCTGACCCCGGCCTTTGAGTCACAGGTGGAGCACACCAGGGGAGATGTAGGAGAGGCCGGTGCAGAGCCGTGCATGTGGTGGAACCGCCGTAAACCTCAGTTCTCTTCCCGCTCTCAGGACTGACGTCTGGACCAGATGTGTCGAGCTGGGCTGTCTTGTCTTGAGGTCAGAGGCTCTGAGCGGAGCTGTGGGCAGACGGGCTCTGCCATCTGCGGCCCTGGGCCCGAGTGAGCCCTGCCAGTCAGCCTTTCGGAGCCTGTTTCCTCCTCTGAAAAACGGGGATAGTAATGAAAACGCTCACCCTGCAGCATCTGTGGGGTTTGAGCGCCGTGTGACTGGCTTAGAACAGGGCCTGCCCTGGCTCCCACTCCGCTGGCTGCCGTGGCCGCGGCCGCCTCCTTGTCCACGGGAGGGTGTGAGCAGCGTGAGTCCGGCCCTCAGCACGCGCTGCTCGGGGCCCGTGGCTGAGCGGTGGCATCGGGTGACCGAGCCGAGCTCTAGCTCTTGTTTTTAGTGACGGGTTAAACACACACGTCCGTACTCTCTGCTGAAAGAAATTGAAGCGGCGTTGAAAATGTGGGGAAATGGGAAGAGGCTGGAAACGGCAAATAGGGTGTGAAGCCGTCACCAACACCCCCGCCGTCAGAAGCTGTGGAGTTTTGCATCTAATCTGAGGATTTACGCGTGACACCAGCCATCCGCGTGCATTTAATGGTGACTAGTATGTTGATATCCATACACTTTGGTGAACAGCTCCATCTTCTGCAACCACATGTGAGGATTTTCTCCATAAATAAACCTGAACTTGCTCCTTCTAGGCCCTGAACCCAGCCTTGCAGGGGTAGCTGAGGCCTGGGAGAGGCTGTGCCCACAGCCCCCGGCCTGGTCTGGGCCCCAGGGGCTGGCCCTGGGCAGTGGCTGTCTCCTCCATGGGATGATTGTCTCCTTTTTATCCCCAGCAGGTCTGGCTGTTCTTGGTGGGGAGGGGTGGAGCCCAGGGCAGGGGGAGCTCTGCTGGCAGCTTCCCTGCTCCCTGTAAACTGTTTCATCCCATTAAGCCAAGCCTCCTACCCCCAAAGGCGGGAGACTGCCTTTGGGTCAGGGGCACAGATGCCGAGACCCACCTGGGCCCCATGCCTATTGGGGCTCCTCCCTGGTCTCCCCTGGCTCCCTGCTCCCTGCTCACGGGGCTGAGGAAGGAGAGGGCCGCCCGGGGCAGCGTGATGCTTACATCCTGACCCGGAGGTGCGCTTTCCTTACTCACGCTGCCCGGGGTGTTTCTGAACTAAGCCTGTGCCTATCACTACCATTTGGTCCTGGGACAGGTCACTCCGTGACTGAACCCCATTAACCTGTCAGCCTTGAGCTTGGGGGTTCGGGGCTGAAGGGAGCACTCCAGCAGTGCCCAGAAGAGCTGCCCCGGTGCTCCCACCACAGCAGGGAGCCCCAGCCTGCCACTGAGTAACAGGTGGAAAGAGACGAGGTGTCACCCCGGTCGTGGGTGGGCCCCACAGAACCCCAGTGAGCTCGGGGGACAGTGTGAGCTAGAACGAGCTGCCCTTGGCACCTGGGTGTTTGCAGGACGTGTGGGCTGTGGAGGCAGTGGAGGCAGCGTGGTGCAGGGAGGACAGTTAGTCCCATGCCTGGGTAGCATGCCAAATCTGCCCCCTCCCCCCCAGGTTTGACCCTGGGGGAGTCTCCTGATGACCCCGCCCCCAGGTCCGAGCCGTGGTCAGCGGTCAGGACCCCCCCAGGGCTGTGGCCGAGGCAGGACTTGATCACGTTTTATGAAAGACATGCACGGGGGGTCATGTCCTAAGGTCATGATTAAAATCAGTGCACATGCTACCGCGCAGATTTCAAAGGAGCAATCATTGGGAAGGCACAGCCTCAGCCCAGAAGCACGCTCAGGCCGCGTGGGTGGGTTGTTGGAAACGAAGCCACAGTCAACAAAAACACCAAAATCTGACCGCTCCTGGCCCTCGGCCGGGGCAGCCCCGGTTCTCCCGGCCCCTCTT